CTAGTATAAACATTTTTAGCAACATTGATGTAAATAATAGTAAAATTTCTTCTTATCAATTTTAACCTTAGCACTTCTTGTAAATCCATTGTACTTTTTTTAACCAAAGATGGATATTAAATGTTATTATTATTGTTGTTTTGCGTTGCGGTTGAATTTTCTTTTCTTGAAGAAAATACAGTAGAGACAGTTGTATATATTGACGATGTACTGTACTCTAAAAATCACGATGCCGATATATAAAATCAGTCAATACTCAATAGACACAATACTCAATATTCAATAACAATGTCATGTGTGTTTTACTATGTCTATAGTTTATATAGACTGTAAAAGCTTGGATATGTTTATAATGAAAGGTAAAATAAGACCACTGACTGGCACTGTGTATATATATTTTACTTATCAGTATTGCAACGCTTTCGATCTGGGAGGGAAACACAATGATAATACAGTATAAACAATCAACATTGTTGCCAATTTCATATATCTGTATAATAAAACTAAGGATTTCAAATAATTCAAAACTGGTCTGTAGTGTAGACAGGCGAGGACCAAACCAATGGCAATGCAATATCGAATAAACCAAGAAACTGTATTATACGAATACTTTCCTTTATGATACGTTGAAAAATTCAAGCAAACTGCAACAATATTAAACAAAACTGTTATCGTCCACTGCATTAAACGCGACTGCCATTTCACCATCGTTTTCTCGACCGGAAAACAGACAAACGGTATTTTAATTAATAAACTTTCTCATTCGGGAAGTGTAATAAAGTTTTATGCCAACATAGGCTCTATTCCAAGATTTATGTCTCAACTGGAAACGCTCTAATCCTCTATGCTTAATTAATTAGTTACTTCACCAAGCAAACAATTTGAATAGACAAAGAGTTCGGCAAATATTGGGTCTCTTCAAAAACACTTAAAACTGAGTGAAAGAATAAATGAATTAAAAAAAAAAAATTAAAAAAAATAAATAAAAAAATTGGCCAAGATAGAGCTATGTTTGTCGCGTTACCAACGCTCCTATTGAGAAGTTGTAACATAGAAGCTTTGTGGGGAAGCTGCTGGTTAATTGTCTTGGCCCCATTCAGGTTTTCTGTATTGCAGGTTTTTCCTGGCCTCCCTGACTATCCAGCTGTAGTATAAGCGATGGTAATTCTCATGTCGGAGACTGTCTATATATATCTTAATATTTGTGATTGGACGCAATGGACGAACATTGCATGATTGACACATTTATATTATTATGAAGAGGAGTTAAAAGATAGGAATGTAGTGACTGAGTGACTGTGTGACTGTAAGAGAGACTAGACCGCGTATACAACTGTGAGTGATTTTCAATAATATAATTTTATAAAACCGAATTTGCTTCGTCGAGAGTTTGATTGTTCAATACCTTTTAGTAAGGGTCAATTAGTTACTAAACCTGGCACCTCCGACGGGATCGTAAAATGAGTGAGACAAACGCCAGCACCGCGCTGGAAACAAAATTATTTCAATTGCAACTAACGACGAAGCGCACGGACGGAATTCTTGCAAAATCTGAAGAAGAGCCTATTGCTCGACATCAGGGAACACTTAGAACTGTTATTGGCGAAGTGGACAAACTAAGGCTTACGGTTGAAGCTGAAAAACTGGGCAGAAAAGAGGATACTACCGAGTGGAGCGAGGAGATTGATACCAAAATCAGCGAGGCAGATAGTCATGTAAGACTGACGAAGGAATGGTTGGCGGAAAACAAGAGGAAACTAGAGGAGATGGAGAACGACAAGAAGATCAAGTTTGAGGTAAAACTGCATGAAACTAAAGTAAAGTTACAAGATGAACATATTCTTAAAAACACCTCGCAGACCAGTAAAACTATGATTGGAATGCAAGCGAAATTACCGAAGCTAGTGATTTCGAAATT